TGATAAAGTATCATCTCCGACCAGTGGCGTAGGCTTAACTACCGCAGGTTTAGCAGGTTCATTGAACTTTGACCCCGACCTCCAGGGCCCCATCTATAAGGGCCCCGCCCCTTTAATAAAAATCTAATAAAGCAATGCATAAATAAAAATCTGGATTGATAGTATATATCTTTATGTAATACTGCTCTCATTAATAACTTAAAATTGTATACATATTCTAGGCCATATGCCTGTTGTAAAAATTCAGTCACTCGAACACTAAATGGAAATCACAGTGAAAGAGAGATAGCACTACAATTAGTGAAACAACATTCAAACTGTTTGAGTTTGGGATATCAAGGTCGATAGAAAATAATTTCAATTTCGTTATATTAACGAGAAGGGGGTGGGGCATGTCATATAGCAATTGAACATTCAACATGAAATTATGTTTTCGCCACAACAGTTTTTGTAATCAAAATGATGTTTATATAATTCTCGCTGCACGTTTTTGCAGTCTTTTTACAATACATTTTATCTCGGATTGGTTTCCCAAAACCGAAATTGCATTAACGATACATGGTCCGATTTTGCTTATGTAATAAGCAGAGATTCGTGCAATGTTTCAGCCAATTTTCCTATGTTATGAATCTTGAAGCTTACAGACGTTTATATCGTATATGAAAATTCATGTTACGTTTTCGTATACTATATCTCTAAACCCAAATATACGTACGTTTTCCGTCGACACAAAATATTCAGGACATCAGATGAAAGTATATTCTGATTTCTAATTAGCATGACTTTTGCTTTAACTTCATATATTTTCAACTTATTCAGACATACTATTTGACAATATTTTCTATTTTTTTTTGTAATTTTGTATTTAATCCAATTCGTATTCTTGAAAATAAATAGAACATCATCCGCAAAATTACCCCGGAAAAATAATTTCTTATTATCATTATTTATAAATAACAAAAATAAAATTGGACCCAAAACACTACCCTGTGGTAGACCGATTCCGATTCATTTAGGGGTGACATTTCACTATTTGCTTCCTTCCAGCCAAAGGGAACAAGAAAGGAGCGTTCACGTCTCGAGGGTGCAGACGGTACGAACGCACCCCCCCCCCCCCCCCCCCGCCTAAATAATTGTTTTATTGTATTGTTGATAGAATTACCGGTAAGATTTTTAAGGTATGAAAGTACACCTGAGGTCCATATTCTCAAAGTTAATGTTCCCACCTCAGCCCCAATCATTGTGGAGCTGAGGTGGTGTGGACCCTCATGCATCCCCCACCCCCACCATAAGAAGATCTTGGACTTCCTTTTCAACAATTTTGGCTATGTGGCATACCACTAAGAATGGTCTGTAATTGTTAGGGGGCCTCTCATAACCTGCTACGCCACTGCATGTATCCTATAGGGTTAGTCATTGAAACTTCTGCAATCGTTTTAAAACCATATCTTTCATTAAAGATTTATTTATAATAGAACCATATGGAGGAACAAATCTATTTTCTTCCTCCATGTTAGTACATAAAAATGTCGTAATATAGCGTAATGCAATAGCCTAATAATATCGACATTATGACATCAAGGTTAGTCCTCCAGATTTTTATATAAGCATGCCAGATTTTTTTTTTCAATATCGTCAGTTACGTCGTAAAATTGAGTGTGTGAATACAATTTTTGGTTTTCCGTTTTGTTGTGGCTTCTTTAATTGCGTTTGAAATGTCTGTTCCAATATATTACTAAAATAATTGCTAAAATTATCATCAAGATTTGGATGAATATTGTTTGAATTTTTGTTTATTCTTACAAATGTTTGAGGTCGTGTTTTTATTTGTTTACAATTTATAAAGAATATTCTGATTTGGATTTTTAAATTTTACTCGTTCATTTGTGAACGATTATTAAAAGATGTTTGTTGAATAAGTGTTAACATGATCACCTAATCTATGAAATCAGGTGTGATCTATTTCATATTAAGTAAATAAAACTAATATACAAGATAATTGTTGACATTGTTTATTGGTTAATCTGATAAAAATATCAATTCAATAAATATCGTCAATGTTCTTTCATTTGGTCATAAGAAGTAGAAATGCTTTTATTATGGTCAATCCAACTAGATTATGCCCACTGAGAACATCTAAAAATTTTTAAAAATCAAAAAGTTATTGTCAAAATATAAAAATTGGAAGGACCCCTGCTCCAAAACCAATCCATCGGTGGTACACATCTTAGTTAACATATATATGTCAATTTGCATGCACGAAATGCCCCGACTGTCTCACGTACGAACCAGGGCCCCTCACAACCTAGTTACGCCAACTGTCTCCGACTTGTTTATTATTTCAGTAGGGGAAGACCTGTCAAATTCACAAAAAAGGTAATAATGGCACCTCAACTCTACCATGACTTTGGGCTGAGGTGCGAAATTTGTTATTTTTAACACCACCTCTCCGTGTGTCCGTGTCTGGAAATGATGATATCAAACTTTGAAAACTTGTTGAAAAAATTGGGGGGAGAAAATCCAAAAAATAAGCCACCACGAGACAGACACTTACAAGTGAGCTGCGTTATGAAATAATAAACCTACACTAATCATGCCATTTTAGGGGCACACACTAAATAATAAAATGAACACTGAAATGCCGAAACGGATCTGTCTGCAGATATTGGGATTCCTTCCAGTGGATGGTTAG